CTGCTGGTCCGCAATCCGAAGCAGGTCCTCGTGCTCCGCGCAAAGATCCCAGACCTTGTGGACGCGATGGCCTTTTCGGGGGGCCGACTCTCGCACCTTGAAATAAATTATTTATTTCTGCGGAGACCCCCAGAAACGAAAACAAAAAAAAATAAATTTAGGAAAGGCCACCATTTTGAGAGAAATGCCACATTCGGATGCAAAGAAAGCAACCAGCTTCCAAAGAAAAGGGTTCAAGATGAAACTTGGGAAGCGGGTGATTGAGTTGTCCCTTTCGAAGGTCGCAACAGGGTCCAAAAAGAAACCCGGTTTGGAACAGCCCTCAGATAGGTGGTGCCCTTCTGGGTCTTCCTTGAAATCAGCCCCAATCCGTTGCAAATCTATGCAAATGTTGGGGGTCCTGTTCCCCTTTTCCGGCCTATGGCTTCTTTTCCAGGAGTTCTCTCCCCTTTCGCTCATCCCAGCTCCCGAATTCCTTTTAAGTCGTGTACCGTTTCCCTTTAGCCCAAGCAAATCCAGGGAGGGTTTGATCAACCGAACCTCGCTTCAAGCTAGCAACCAAACCGGAAGGGAAGAAAAAGAAGAGCCCATGGGTGGGATATGGCGAATTGCCCGTGTTCCTCTCTTGGTTTCCTCTGAGTGGGACTTTCCAAGCGAGTCCAACCCCACCCCAAAACTCCAAAACTCCCCGCCCCTGGGCCCCTGGGCCCCTGGGCCTAGGGTGGCACTCGGTCACTCGGCCCTTTCTCCCAGTGCGCTTGCGAAAGCTTCAGGATTGGGGGGAATGAAGGGCGCCGAGTTCGGCACTCAACGACCCAAGAGGCCACGCACGTGTGCCAAAAGCAAAAGACAACTTGACTCATATCGTCTGTGTGTGTGGAAATCAGGTACATATTTGTGTGCAAACTTCAGAGTGTCATCCTTAAAGCATCCGTAGTTTCTGCATCACGTCAGCTGGAGTCGTTCTCATGTTTGACATTGAACATTGAAATCCTTCCGCTCACTGTGAAGGATTTGCCTGGCGCAGGTTTCTCATTGTCCTCAAGCAGATCTACGGCGCGCCGTTCCTCTATGAGGCCACACGCACACGACCGAGCGGAACACAAATCTCTCTGCGTCACTCGGCCGGTGTGCAGGGTGAAACCTGGGCGTGCAATGGGTCACAGACTTCCGTGAATGGGCGAGATCCTATGCTCTGGACGTGTAAAAATTGGAAAACATCAGGCTAGTACGGCTTTGCAGGCGCAAAAGAGACTTTTTGCTTGCCCCCTACGGGGAGGGTCCTGTTCGGGACTCCCCTTCTCAGCTACAAAGGAGCCAGGCTGTGGGGTTTTATCCCTATGAAAAAGACCTTTTTTGGGGCCGCTCAAATGGTTCAGGCTTCTTTCGAAGCACCATCCAGGGGTGCAGTCTCCATTTTAGAAGCTTCCTAAATCCACGGAGCCTCAGCTTTTGCTCCAAGAAATGAGATGCTTAGATTCAGGCCCACATTCAGTACCCGCACAGCCCAAGAAGCCCTTCAAGCTGGTTCCAAGAACTCGTACCACCGCTAACACACCACCCCCAAACACACGACCCACTTCCCCCAGTGTGAATGCCGACACCTTTTCTGCACCAAGAAGCTGCACCATAAATGTAGATGATCTGGAGCGCCCTTAGGGTCGCGAGCGCCGAAGCAACATGAACCAAACAGGGCAGTGCCCGTTTCACCCACTGGCGTGTGCTTCTACCCCTACTATAACCTTTCTGAAATCAGGTAGATTTGCCGAATAAAATGGCCCTTTGGGGGGTCGGGCGCTACTCAACCGTCAGATGGGATGCCTGATGGTGAAGGCATAAACACAATTCTAGTCGTATTAACTCAACAAACACAAAAGCAGGTTTGAGCCATGGATTAATCCTCTTGAACACTGAAACGGGTCAATTGTCAGTGGGACCTGCAATATGTCTGAAGACTTTTTGTTAAGGTTGAAGATCATGTTGGTCCTTCTGCTTGGTCAACGTTCAAACCTAAAGCCAGAATTCAATCATGTTCTTTGTTCATCAGTTTGGTCAAGGGCGAAGATGTCTCCGATGGTCCCAACTCTTGGCCCGGTCAAGGTTGCCAGGTTGACACTTTCAGTCGGGGGTCGTTCCGAGCACGGTAGGTCGAAAGAAACCAAGCCAGGCTGCGGCTTTGGGACTTCGCAAATGGTGTATGTCCACAGGTGGCCTTTTGGAAAATGCATGCGATTGGCGAAAGTAGAACCCATCTCCACCATTGGAACCCATCTATTTCCAGCCAAACCAAGAGCTCAAAAGTGCACCAGCGGACAAATTCCGGCAGTTGGTCGGTGGTTTATCACCCATTTGGCTGCGGCTCAAAAAAGTGCCAAAGACTAAAACCCGCTCTTTCCCCAGCTCTTTACTTTTGAGCCATACCCACTTCTTTCGGGTTTCATGGAGAAAAAACAAAACCAATGTGGTGCCTAGGGTCCGAGAGCGCCCAACGCTCCCCACGTCGCGGCGCCTCAGAAGCCGATCCTCTGGCGCGGCGCCTTCTCGGGCTCCTCCGCGCGGGGTCTTTTGGGGGTTGGACCACCGAGACTTTTTTGAGGCACACGGAGTGATCGGGTCGCCATTTTGGGGATCCTCGTTTCTCCTATCTTAGGGATCCCCATGTACAATGTGTGATCCCCATTTTTGTTGAATGAAAGGTAGCATTTTGAGAGATCCTCATTTTGAGACACACTGACGTACCAATGTCATGATTGTACCATTTTTAGGGATCCTCGTTTTTCTTAGTTTAGGATCCCCTATGTAATGTTTAGGTAAGTGGCTGTCAAATCAATAAGGATTGTTGATTTGTTGATTTGTTGATTTGGGGAGGGCGTGGTGTTTGCACACTAGCTCCGGATGTCCTTGTGGTTTGTGGTCGGGGTTCGACAAAGATGGGTCAGCCGGTGAGGCTGCTTTTCCAACCCCACAAACTGTATTATTTTGTTGTCTTAGGCCTATCTCTTGGTTTGTTTGGGGAAGAAAGTTGGTTGAGTTGAACAACCTGGCCCCTCCTTTAAATGCCGTCCCGGATTCGGCATGTTCGATCGCTTTAACTGGGGAACAAAAGGCCACCCTTAAGAGGTGTCAAGTTGGGACTTCGATTCCGCGCCCAAGCAAAGGGAGCTTGAGGAGGGCCTGAAACAGGTTTTGGGTTTTGCCCTCGGATTTGCTGGGTTACAACCCCCCTTTCGGAAAGAAAAACGAAACCCGCACTGTAGCGGGAAGTCGCACGGATGCCGTTTAAAAACATGGTACTTTGAACCACGATCTTATGACTACGGCACTTTCAGGCGGGCTCCCTTGCTATCATGCCACCATCATGCTGGTTCAAAACACGGTGGTAGTGGTGGTGTTCGTGTGTAGGCAGTGCTGGTTTAAGCCACTCCCCCCCTCCTCCCCCCCCAGCAAAGACAAAAAAACAACGGAACAACCTAGCTTTGTCAGGGAAGCCACTGGCAATTCATTGAATCTCCAGACCCAAAAGGTAGAACGAGGCCGGCCACTCTTTCAGTGGGTCCTGAACCCTAAGGGTGTAAGGCACTGACCTGGTGGGTTCCCGAAGAGCACATGAGATCCATTGAAAACCCCCAAGGTACCAGAGAACAAATGCTACAGGCGGAATTGATCCCTCCACGGAACATTTATGGCCCTCTGGCCAAAGGGTGATCTACGTGTCAACAGCTCGTGCCGATCTCCTCTCAGGTTGTCGCAGTTCTGAAGTCTCTCAGTGCATACCAAAAACCCCATAGTTCTGACGCTCCATCCTTGGTCAAAAAATACGTTGCTGTTTGGTGAGAAGAAATAACATCTACCCTGCAAGGCGTCTTTGGAGAAACTGGCGGAAGCGCCTCAAGGAACTTTTTGGTTTGGTTCGAGCGACTGGCGCCGCTTCACTTCGGCCCGCCTCGTCATCCTCTATCCGCACCAGCTCGATCCTGGTGTGGCCGCTCTCTGCCTGTCCGTCAGTGGCGAAGCTCACGTTGCTCGGCACCTTCTTCTTGAGGCTCGTTGCTTCTGTACCTGGCGAAGCGGTGGCTCCCGTTGGTGCCTCGTGTTTTGACCTCTAGTGGGAACATCCCTCAAAGCTCTAAAAATCTGAGGGTGTGGCCGAAGCAAAGGTGCATTGGCCAATAAAGGTGCTGAAGGTGCGTTGGTTTTCACTTGCTTGCGTACCTCTAACCGCATTGGCCTAAATAGTAGTTGTCTCTGTCTCTGTACCTGGCTCGCTCTTAGTGGCCCGGTGATCCTGCCTAAAAGCTAAACTGTAGCAGAATGCGTCAAAAAGCCCTCTAAACTCTAAAAACCTTAAAGGCTAACAAACTGTGGTGTGCTTCACTCTGCCTGGCTCGTTCATTTGCCCAAATCCAGGGAGTTGGGTTGGCTTGTAGGTGTGTTGTGGTTCACCTGTTTGAGTACTTGTCTCCACGATGGTCGAAATCTATCGGTGGTTCCATGGGTATGATTTTAAATCGAAGAAAAGCGGTGACAAACGGAACGAAATGAGCAGGAGCGGAATTGGACAATTTTATTGTCAAGCACAAAGAACATCTGGCGCTTGCTCCTGCTTTTCATTGCAAAGTGAACAATGCATCGGGGTCTGCTTTTGCAATGTATGTATCTATATATATATATATATGTACTCTGTTGCCTTCTGCTCCCCTGCTAAAAGTATAACTTCTCGTAGTTTAATGAAGAGCCCATTAGTTGGCAAGAAGTCAAAGTCCTAACATCCAAGAAAAATGCACCAAAATGCACCAATGTATGTATTATATATATATATATATACACATAGTAGAGGCACAAAGTGAAACATGTATTGGACCACCAGACCTCCAGTGTTCATGGGAAAAGGGGCACCCTTTCTTTTTGGCCGTTGGACTCAACGCGAAACAGTCCAAGAAAAGCAAAAAGGCATCGGATTGCTGCGCTACACCACCGAGTACACCTTGAAAGATAACTAGAAATAGCCCAAACCTGGCCCTAAGGTTATATCGGGTCACCTAAAACCTTGAGCCATCCAAGCCTTGGTCATACCTCCTTCGGGTGACTTTGAAGGGCCCCCATCTCTCCACCAAGGGCCGGTGCCGCACGTGGCTCAGCGCTCAGCGCTCAGCGCTCAGCCACGGGGCTTCCGTCGTTTCGCCAAGGCACGGGTGGGGTAGGGGTAGTCCCATGGCTGCTCCACGAAGTGCTTCAGCTCCTCGTAGTCCAGGTCACTGTGCGCGCCCAAGCCCCCCATCTGGTCCAGCAGCCCGCACTCGCGATACGTGTCGTCGTATCTGGGCACCTTGCCTGACTTGCCATCAGCCTTCCCCACCCCCCAATTTTGGGTGGATTGGATTGGATTGGTTTGGCAGTGAGGCAGTTTAGCCCTTAAACCCCTACCTAATTGGTGGATTGGACAGGATAGGGGTGGTTTCCTATATATCCCGAAAGCAAGAACCTATTCAGGGCTTGCTTCATGAGGGATTAATCAAGTGGCTTATGGCGCGTTCATGAAAACACATATAGGAAGGGTCCCAGTTTGCCGGGAGCCAACCGCAAGGCAAAAAAGAAACGGCTTTGTTTCGGAAAACAGTGACCCAAACCCGTGGTTTGGTTAGGGGCCCCATGCAGGTTGACCTTTGTGGATTGATTCAGCTGCTGCTGCCTGTTGGGCTGGCCTTGCTTTGCAGTGCAAACCGCTGGCTTCCCGCTAAGATGTCAGATTTCACAAGACAAGCTGTTGATGGAGTGCTCCGTTCCTAGAGGGTCCCCTTATTATGACCAAAAGGGGAGTTCTCGAAGTGTGGCCGGTTTTTTTTGTTTTTTCCCCGGATGCCTTTTCGGCTCGTGGTTTGATCTAGGGGTACCACGTTGATTCCTGGGCTTCAGGAAACCGAGCGCTTGCGGTTGCCCCCCTTTTTGGGGGGATCCCCGCGGAGGGCCAAGGGGCAACTTGCCCCTTGGGTTGAGGTTCCCCCCCCCTCTGCATGAGACAATTGGACTTTCCTTGCGGCCCCTCAACACACCATTCTCGGAAAGCCCCGAACAGGACACAAGTGTCTGGCTCGGACATGTTTCGGTTCGAGTGACACGGGGGCAAGCCCTCTTTTCGTTGGGGTTGTTTCGAAGGAAGCAACAAAAGAATCGAAAGCGGGGTGCTACTGCACGCCAGAGCTGCAATACCTCAAGACTTTGGCAGCGCTGAGGCCAGTGTCATTTCCTCGAGATCGACCAAGTCGGCCGAGCGGAAAAAAGCCGAAAGGCGCAAAACATGTGGGGCCCGAAAGAAGAGGAAAAACGAAACGCCAAGCGCAGTTGACCCAGGGTTGTGCTGCAAATCGGAAGACTCCCCCAAATTGAAACACCCTCATGTAGTTTGCCCTCTGAAGAAATCTGAAAGTTTTCAAAACTGGATTGCGGCCTCTGGATTATGATTTTACACGGTCTTGTATCAACATAGGGGCACCCCCCAAAATGAGCGGTTTCCATCTTGGGTTCTTTGGCTTCCCTTTACCACGGCTGCTAGCTTGGGATTCATGTCCACCAAACGTTCGAGGCATCCCAACCATTGAGCTTCGTGGGCCAGTTGCGTGACTTGCACCGAGATTTTTAAGAAAGTGGAGAAAGGGACACCCAAAGCAAGCCACGAGTTTTTTACTCCAAGGGGTCCCCCTCAAAAAGACCAGGGAACTGTCAGGCTGCTCATGTGCAGGGGACTTGCAGCCCGCTCGCTCCAAAGGCGACGCAGGGAACCGGCCCAATTTGTTTCCTTGGTCACCCAGCAGGGCGGTTCCCTTGACCCTCAACAAGTGGGGGGGGCTCTAAACCTCGACAGGGCTTTTCCCTTGACCCCCAAAACGTGGGGGGGGGGGGGGGCTGGGGAGGAGCTCCAAGGCACGGAAGTTCGCCCTCTCATCGTCCACCAGCACCAGGTGCTCCAGCTTCAGCTGCGACAGCTTCCTGAATGACGAACTGAATGCTTGAAGGAACGGAAGGGGCCCATGGGTGCGGGAAGGTGTCCTTTTTCAGTTGGCGCCACCTTTGAACCTTGTACTGGGGAGCCAAAGGTACCACCCATCTTGGGGGTGTCGGGGAGAAAAAACAAAGGTGCTCCCTTGCAAAGCCACGCGGGCTACTCCATAACCGCACCCGCCTGAAATCAAGGTGTGGCTGCTTCTGGAGGTGGGTATTGTTTTTGGGTTGGTGTCCAAGGGAAGCCAGCAGTGCAACCATTTCGCAGGTCCCTAATTCTGAACCATAATTAAAATGGCCTGAACGTTTCCGGACATGGGATACCGTCCCCCTTCCATACCCTAACGGCAACCCATAACTCAACACATGCGAGTGGAAGAACCTTTATGTTGGTCAAATATGTCCCTGTTCATCCAGGTTCATTTGTCCGGGCCACCCAAGACACCCTTTTCTCACAGGAGAAACTGTGAATACCGAAGAACCATGCAAAAGGCCAAGTGGGGGGGCTGGGGGTACCCTGAAAGTCCTTGTGGATTTGCTGGCTGATTTTGCAGGGAACCCATGTGAGCCCCATTAAAAATCATAGCCATACGCAGGGGTTCTCATATGTCCCGAATTGCTTCCTGAACCTCGAAGCAGCAAACCTTGGAAGCTCACTTTGAGCAAATTCCGGGGGGAAAAGAATCCACTTGCCCGCCGTTTTGTTCGATTTTGAAGGCTAAGGCTGGGATACTTTGAAAAGCCAGTTCCGACTGTTGGTGGCCTGAAATAATTAGCGCCACGTTTTGAACCGGCGCCCCTTGGATCTGGTTGCATGATGGGGTCTTATAGCTCCCTTTCGGACCAAGCGAACCCCTGGTATGAACCGCATGGGATCAGCCAAGTCTGAATCAATCAAGGGACCCCGGCAAAAAGGTGTTGCTTGAAAATATGGGCAAATCCCTTATGAGCGAATCCCTTATGAGCGAATCCCGTATGAGCGAATCCCTGCATAAACCGCAACAGGGAAAAGCTAGCCTGAAAAACCGACAAAACACCCCTGAACGGGTCCATACAATTAACTCACAGAAGAACAAAATACTCAACCTCAAGCAAGCTCATTACAGGCACGCGCATTCTATTAGTCCATACGATTAGTTTTAAAAGGACATATATATATATATACTGTATATGGCATCCACACAATTGGCTTCAGATTCGCCCAAGAAACAAGTTCAGCAGAACACAAGGACACACTGACACCCCTCTGGTGAAAGAGAACCCTGGGCCTACCCCCGGCGAACAAGACACCCCGTGCATAACCCCACGCCGGGTGCCTCGTCGAACCCGCTTGGCCCTGGAGCCAAATCAAAACCACTGGAATTGTCCCTAAAAGGCCGAAAGGCGCCCTCTTCCCGCAAGAATGACTCAAGCCTAGCGGGGCGTCTGCTGCAGTGATGCCTCCCCACTGAGCTGTGGGAACCACCGCAGCGGATGCGCGGCCACGTGCTCCCTCGGATACGATCGCATTCCATGGAACAGGCTGTTTGATGGATAGTGGTTGCTGGGATAACTGGAGGTAGCTGACGTATCACCATGGTGACCGATGACATGAGGCGTTCGGACTACTAAGCGATCTCGACCCGTGACATGCCCTGCCCCAACTTCAGCATTAAAAACTAAAATCCTCGAGGAGCCCCAGTCATTGGAACGTTTGCGGGGGTATCAAAGCAAAGAACCTCATGAGCATGGGAGAATAGTGCGCGTGTAACTGTTGGGCCAACTCTTGGCTGCTGGCTTTGAACACCAGCAGTACCCTGTTCATACCACGGACGTAAAGAGGTCAGAGCATATAGACCCACGGACTGGAACCACCAAACAAATCTCGAAGAAGAGCGCGCCTGTTTAAAGCTCAAACGCTCAATTTGCCGAAGAGCAAGGGCTTGGATTGCTGGGGGGAACAGCTGTGCCGAAAGGTGAGGGAACCGAAAGATGATGTCAGTTTCCACTGGGTGATGCGAAAGCGAGCGGTCTGAGGACCCCTGATCAACATACACCGTAGCTGCTGCCAAGTGCAACCAGCGAACTCTCACAAGCAAATGTGTTCTAAAAGGCGGGAGCTGGCGTGTGACAGCCCGAAGCTGAGGCTCCGGGAGCCTCAGGCTAGACTGTCATAGCCATCTGTTACAGCTGCCTGTCGCCTCTCTTCGCAGTTACGGCTGTCTGGTGAGGCTCTGCTCCAGCTGTGCCACAAGCTCTTCACAGTTACCTGCCACAGCTGTCTGTCTGTTAGGCTCTGCCACAAGTGTTTGCCACAAGCTCCTTTGCGCGTCTGTCTGTCAGTTTCTGCTACAGCTGTCTGCCACAAGCTCTTGACAGTTCTCTCTGCAACAGTCTGCCTGTCTGACACATCTGTCTGTCGAATCTGTCTGTCAGGCTTTGCTACGCCTGTGCCACAAGCTCTTCACAGCTGCCTTTCACATGTTTCTCTCTCAATCTGTTTGTCAGGCTCTGCGACAGCTGTCAGCCGTCCGCCGCAAGCTCTTCACAGTTTTCTGTCACAGCTGTCTGTCGCAAGCTCTGTCTCAGCTGTCTGTCACAGGTCTGTCGGCGGGCGGGCAGGTACAGTACCGGGCTGCGGCGAGCCGGATGCCACTAAAAATATCAATGTCGGATGGGGAAATAGAGAGTGAACGGCCAGGGCAATCTGCAACAAAACGCTGCCAGTAGCATTCTGGCGGAAAGAGTGTGAAACCCAACCCTGACTTCATTGCGACCTGCCAAGTCAAGGCAGAGGTTTGCGATACAACGCAACCTCATTCCTTGGCCCAACTCTGGAGTCCACCAAAAATCATACTTTCAGCTTCCGGGTCATAACTTGTCAACCTCAAAATATAAAATGGTTTGGGGTCTCCCCCAGTTTCCAGCCGCTGCCGGGCGTCAACACGTCGGCCTTGTGCTGATTCACCTCCGCGCAGGGCGTGCGGAACAAATGCCATCGGCCCTGCTCCCAGAAGGCGCCATCGCAGTCTCCCCCGCTGGACCTTGAAGGGTCTCACAGATGTGGGGGGTGAGAAGTGAAAGGTGAGGAGGGTAAAAGATGGGAGGTGAAATATTTAATCTAAAAAATATATATGGAGATTTAAAAAGCAATTCTGAAAACAGTGGGCCAACTGAGGAGCGAATGCCAAGCCCAAGAAGCCATTCCCAAAACAGGGGTTCCACAAGCAAACCGCAACAAATCTGGGGCACCAACACATGATACTTCGGATCGAAGCGGGGACTCGCTAAGAGCGAGCAGCTACTCAACCCGCACCTCATCCTAGCAACCCTGTTTTGGCCTCATGGATTACAGCCCAAAAAAAAGCTTGGCGGTCGAAACAGGGCCGCAGCAGCACTCGCAGTTTTCCAACATTCTGTCAATCTGTGTGTGTGTCCACATGAGAGATACCTCTCTCTCTCTCTCTCTGTTTCTTGCTTGGGTTGCATTTGTTCCCTCTTTTGTTATTTATGCATTCCTTTAGTTGGTAGTCTTTGTTTGGTGGTTCATGTTCTTTATCTATTTATTCATTGGATCGTTTCTTGTTGTTTATTCGTTCATTCATTACTTAATTACTTGTTTAGCTTGCCCTTTCTGCATTTGTTTGCTTCTGTCTGTATTCTTATTTTCGTTGCTTCACTCTTTCTTGATTTCGTTCTTTGGCTTATTTTCTGCTCACGCCTTTTCTTGCATGGTCTTTTCTTCTTTCCGACCTCTCTTTGGTTGTATGTATATATATATATATAGTTTTCAAAAATATTCATCGGTTTTTGTTTTCTTTCCTTCTTTCCTTCTGTCCTTCTGTCCTTCTGTCCTTCTGTCTTTCTTTCTGCTTATCCTTTTTTCCTTCTTTCCTGCTTTCCTTCTTTCCTTCTTTCCTTCTTTCCTTCTTTCTTGCTTTGCTTCTTTCCTTCTTGCCTTCTTCTTTGTGTCTTTCTTGCCTTCTGTGCTTCCTTCCTTCTTTCCTTCTGTGCGTTCTTCCATTCTTTCTTCCTTTCCTTTCTGTCTGTCTTTCCTCTCTGTCTTTCTTTCCTTTTCTTTCCTTTCTTTCGTTCTTTCTTTGTTTCTGTTTTCCATTCCTTTCCTTTCTTTCCTTTACATATTTCTTTAGTTGTTTCTTTCTTTCCTTTCCTTCCTTCTTTCCTTCTTTCTTTCTTTCCTTCCCTTTCTTTCGTTCTTTCCTTCCCTCTTTCTTCCTTTCCTTTCTGTCTTCCTTTCCTTTCTGTCTTTCTGTCTTTCTGTCTTTCTGTCTTTCTGTCTTTCTGTCTTTCTGTCTTTCTGTCTTTCTGTCTTTCTGTCTTTCTGTCTTTCTGTCTTTCTGTTTTTCTTTCTTTCTTTATGTCTTTCTTGTCTTGTCTTGACTTTTCTTTTCTTTCACTCTATCTTTCTTTCTTTCTCTCGCTCTCTTTCTCTCTCTCCCTCTCTCCCTCTCTCTCTCTCTCTCTCTCTCTCTTTCGCTCTCTCGCTCTCTTTTGTGATAGCAAATCGAGCTTGCCCAACCGCAAACTGAATGGGACACTTCCTGCCAGAAAATGTAGTGAAACACTGGACAAATAGGAATTACTGATGCTTCATCCTCACATGGACATACAGACAGACAGACAGACCGACAAACAAGACAGACAAACAGACAGACAGACAGAAAGACAGACAGAAAGACAGACAGAAAGACAGAAAGACAGACAGAAAGACAGACAGAAAGACAGAAAGACAGGCAGATAGGCTGGCAGACAAGCAGGCAGGCAAACAGCGAGACAGGCAGACAGCCAAACACACAAACAAACACACAGAGACGACGCACACACACACACACACAGAAATTAGGACCAAACGACCATCACCCTCCAATCAACCACCAACAACACGCAACAAGAAACATAGCACGCAAACATCGCAAACATAGAACCAACAAACACAGAAATAACTCATGTCAAGGCATGAGTAAAAGTAAATTCGCTGAGCCCATGGGAAACGCACACGCACATACACATATACACATGTACGCACACATAGACACAAAGAAACTCACACGCATATGCAGACAGTCGCAGGTACGCAAACACACGTTCACACACACATTCACCCACACACACACACACACCTTCGCATTCACCATCACAACACGCAAACATATCTACAACCAAGCGTTCGCACTCGCAAGCACGTTCACAAACCACATGCCTTCAAATATTAGTGCACACCAATGTAGTAACCGACATCAGCCCTGTTTGTTTGACCCCCAACCTGCAACACAGGGAACTAAATGAAACGACTCATGTGGGTATGGGTCAATATTAAACCACCAGGACACCGCTGGTTTTAGTCCATGTTTCTATTTCCCAGGGTTCCATTTTGGGGTTACCCTATGTTTTTAGGCCACCACAGCCACATGAGTGGCGACTGCAGACGGAACCGCAAGCGGGAGGCATGCACCAGACCGCACTAAAGTTCTCCAGGAGGTTGGCCAGGCTCAGCAAGTTCAGCA